TGTGTTTACATTAAGGTACCACCCCCTCTTTTTTTACCCTCTTGGAAACTAGGGAAGCCGATGACAGACCGGGTTCTAATTTATACCAAAGACAGAACATCGAAAAAAAAAATCGATGTATTTTTGCTGTTTTAAGATACTGAACGTCTTTTTGTTTATCATTGTAAATGATTCTAAATTCTTGCTCATTAACAATTTAATAATTCTAATAGCATTTGTTTCTACTTCACATCATAGGATATTAAAAACGAGTTTGTATATTGGCGCTGAAAACATGTGAGTGTCATTCATCATCATAAATTCTATTATAGTGTACTATTTTCATACGCACATTATTGTTCTTTTTTTTTAACTTTAATATTCAATTTATTAATATAAATTTAAAAATCAAAAAATAATTTCGACTATGCGCGTGTATATGAGAAACGAATTTAGAAATTAATTAGAAAATGAATAGAATTCAGCGGATAAGATGCGGACGAATAGACAAACACACATATGTTTTCTAGACCCATGTCTTTTCAGTCATGGAAAAATGAGATACTACAGTAAACTGAAGTTCTGTGGAAAATACGCGTAGTTTAGCTTTAACCGTATAAACATTCAAAATTCAAATCTCGCTCAAAATCCGACTAAACCACTTAAAATATGCAGATACATCCAGCTGAGTAGATTAAATCCTAGAAAATGGAAACAATTCTAAACTTATTATTTTTCTTAACCGCTTTTCTAGAAATCTTCCGAAAGTCTTCGAGATAAGAAAACAGAGGTTTTTATATGGATATTAACAGACAAAGTTATCAATGAATGAAAAAAAGTCAATTAAACAATATTTCTCATCATTGTCCTTTGATTAAATATTGGTGAACGGGATATCTACGCGTGCTTTACTTTGATATATAGAAATTTTTACAGACAGATGTTAACTTTATCTTTGAGAAAGCATTAGTAACAATCACGGTGAACTCAAAATTGAATCATGAAAAAATCTACTGAAAGAAACCCTATTAAAATGGGTTACTGTATTTGAAAAAGTAAAAAATAATTCAGTATGAAAACAACATTAAAAAAAATGAATTATGTCTGTTTTTTTGTTCAACCTGCTTATAATTGAGATAATTTGCACCGGATATTGCGTTGAAACGTTTTTCTCTCTATTTTCCTCTAAGATAACGTGGTGTACAATCTTGCATCAGTAGAATTTGCTAAAATAAGCCGTCCAGGTTCGTGTAATAAATCGACGATCCATACTTTTGGAGGAAATCGAACACCCTAAAATACGAAAATCATGTCGATCATAATTATCATGCCGTCTAGATATAATAAACAATTACTAGATAACAACTTTAAACTGTGTAACAATGAAATGTTATCTATCATTTTTAGTATATATAAATTCACCATAATTATCTGTGTGAACGCATACAATTCATTTTTTTATACACCGAACATTCTACGTTTAACTTCTTATTGATTTTCTTCTAAAATTTATCAAAAGTATTTCTCATGTAGTCATAACAAACACCTATCCATCCACAACCGAATGACTTTCGGATATTCATATTTACTTTAACATCGCTTTATAAGATGAATGAATTTTAGTCTTCAAAGATTAAATCATTAAAAAGTTACTTTTAATGTAATAAACTTTTGATTTTTCATTTTTGAATATTTAATAAACTTAATTTTTTTTCTTATCTAAGCTTTCCGTTATAAAACTAAACAACATCACATTTTGATCAGTTCTTTTTTGCTCTTTGGATCAATACGTCAATTCTGGGTTTTAAAATACAGACTGTAGTAAAAAATAATAAAAAACAAAAGAACTCATTTTAGATAAAAAAAAGCCTAATGTTGATAATTGTGTTTGACTTTGCATGAATAATCAAATGAGCGCAGTTAAAAATAAAATGTTTTTTCTGATGAGATCCCGTATTCGCTCTCAATAATGAAACTTGTGATGAAACTAATCTGTAAACAACACACTCCTTTGCAAAATGGATTTCTTTAATAAATAATCTATTTTTAAAAATGTACAGTTTAAATCCTACTCTGTTTGCTTTCATATCAGTGATCATACCTTGGTATTGTCCGCTAATATAACTTCATTCCAGGCTCGATTGTAGTTGCCACGAATTAATGCACACTGGAGATTAAGTCGATCAGCCAATGTCTATAATATAAAACATTCAAATAGTATCTACTAATAGTGAAATTTTTTTTCTATAATATTTTACCTTAAACAAAAATGCTCTTTGTGCATGAATACCTTTCTTCACTTTTCCAATTGGAATTATATTTGATCGAACTTCAGCCTTCAACTGATTCATTGCAACTTCATAACCAAAACTTGAAATATCTTCGACGTTTATTGGACCACCCATTTTATCACTTACAAATCTTAAATTCATACAGTATGTTTTACTCACTTCAACATCCTTTCATCATTAAAAAAAGAAGTATGGATATACCTAGCCAGTGCTGAAATTTGTTCTGGTAATGTTAGAGATGATAATTGTGATCGAACCTCATTCACATACATTTGAAACTCTTTATCAATGATGGGTTTATACGTTCCCGGGTTATCTTGCTAAAATTACTATTAAATGGTTTAAAATTGAACAAAATAATCGATAATAGATACTTACCGAATCCGCAGCCGATTTTGCTAAACCATCGCCTCTTTTCTCCTCCACTTCACGTTTCTCTTTTTTTCCACGACTAAACATTGAAAAAACACACACAAAAGGATTAAATTAAATATTTGATTCAAAAAAAGAAAGCATTAGTGTTGTTACAAAAATAAATTCATGCAGCAAACAATACCATAACATTTACCAACATTGTAATTAATGATTTAATACACAACACTCCTTTAACTTACCCTGCTACTGAATCAACAGAACTAAAATCAATAAAATCTATTCAACTTTTGGGTGCTAAAAAGACCAGTGTTTCGTAAAACAGCTTCGGGGTGTGAAGAATAAACGAAAAATAACAGTTTTGGTCTATTTAGCAGATATAGAGTGACAGCTGTGCTTGGATCAGTGTACTATAGTAGAAATTGTATATTTTCTTTCTGTCTTATACTGCACATTTCCCAAAGCAGATCTAGAATTACGTTTTTGACAACACATGGGAACAGTGCATTAAAAGCAGGACATAACATAAGAAGCGGAATATGGATAGACAGATGGTAATAGGAAATATTGACAACAAATTTTATAGAGATGTTCTGCTTACTCTCTCCTCGAATACAAAATCATAAAAATTTTATGAAAAATTTATTGTTTGAATTTGTTGAAGATCCACATATTATTAAACATTTAGCTCTCAATTTTGTCTTTGGTATTACTGTTGATAAACGCGTCAAGGTAAACGAAAAGTATCTAGTTCATTAAAGAATAATTAATTTGATGCTTACGATCGTCCATCTTTTTCTTTTGCCGAAGATTTGACTGTTTTTGTAGTTCGAGCAGTTTGGACTTTCGTTTCTTGTGGCTTCCTGAAGAAATATTTTTATACAAAATGTAAAACTAATTTTTTTCACGATACTTAATTGTAATTAAATAAAATTTGTAATTCACGCAGAAGAATATTTTTTGTTCACACAGAATTGGTTAGAAAAATTAAAATAGCAACAAAACATAATAAACACGTACATCAATAACTCCTCACTAGCAGGTATTGTTTGAACAGCATTGTCACTCATATTGATTTGACTGAAAATAATGTGAAGGAAAAAAACCAGTGTTTTGTGTGAAAAGAACATTTCAACAAACAATGTATCAACGTGCATATATGCATTTTTGTAGTAAAAGATCGGCTTTTCGTATCTTTAAAACAATTTAAGGTCTGATATTAGTACTCTGCAGTCAATTCGTTAACGGTACAAAACACAGTAGTCCTTCCTCAATATCGTTGACTGAATATTTTAAAAACTGTTTCTTCCTCCAATAGCTGATCACTGTTCTATGTCACATCGGTTGATCTAATAAAGATTAGGGTAGGAATAAGAAATTTAAAGGACATAGTTCTACTCAAATTATATGTCATAAACGAAAAGACGATCTTTTATTAATAGAATAAATATCTTAAATGATGTGTCAGTACAACATTTGACGTGTGTGTATTGGTGATGTGAACATGTTTTGCATCATACTTGTCTTCTCGGGCATAAACGACTAGAATCGCTCTTTTTTCATTCAATTCTTGTTGAGATAATTCGTCAATGGTAAGAAATTTGCCATCTTCTTTGATTGGTCCCATATCATAGAATCCATCGGTCGTTACATTATTCACATCTAAAAATAATTAAATATAACAATTAAAAATATAATACGCATTAATCATAAATAAGCGCACCTAATCTTCCGAGATAAGAATATTTTGCTGATAAATGACTATCTAATATTTTCTGTAATGCCATTTCTGTAAATTTACTTTTTCGTGAGTCTGATGTATTTAAGCCTCGAATAATTTCCAAAGCACTAGAAAATGAATGAAATGAATGAAAAAATGGCATGTATGAACCACTGACAAAATAATGTTATTGATACCCGTGTCTTAGGATTTCAGTAGCAATTGTCACATCTGTACATAGGACACTGATGGCAAAGCAGGCATTTCGGCGTACTTCATCATTATTTGATTTTAAGAGACTGATTAGTTGTGGAATAATACCGTCTTTGTTCAATATCTCGTTTTTCGCAGATTTATCAATACCAAATGCCGATAATGCTATCGCGGCTTTGGCTTGTGTTACTTCATAACTGAAACGATGTATCATATGAGTAAATGAACCATTATGATCTATATAAACTTACGATGATTTTAGAGGCACAAGTAACGCTGAAATAATGCCTTTATTAAGAGCATCTGTTCGAATGACAACATCTGTTGAACAATTGGCTAGTGTTGAACAAGCATACGCTTTTGTGGTATCTTTTTCGTCGCTCAACAATTTAATTAATACTTCAATACCATTCTGATCTTGTAGTTCACTAGTTGTACAAAAAAATAGATTTACAACTGATTCAGTACACATTGTCATAAACTTACCGACAATTATTTGGATTACTCTGAGTCAGATTCGACATGGCTAATGTTGAAAATTCACGAAGACGCGCATTTTCCTTTTGCATCATTTGTACTAATGTTAATATTCCATCTGTAATAATCAACTGAACATATTTCAAGGTATTAATGGTAGATTTATATCAAACATACCGTTGTTTCTAATAGTTTCTCTACTAAGCATGCTTTCTGCCATTACGGCCAAAGCTTGACATGCCGCAATACGAACTTCATCATGATCACTTAGCAACAAAAATACCATTGCTCGTTCAGCATCTTGTTCAGCAAATATTTTCCGGTTTTGAGCTAAAAAACAAATAAAGATTAGTTAAACTAATCTTAATTTATTCGAATGTCTTAGGATGAATAAATGATGATCATTGAAAAATGCTAAAAAATCTGAGTATAATTTCAGGAAAAACACACCATTTTCTAATCAATTCAAATTGGTGAAAAGATGTGTATGTATCTGTGATAGACTTTCGAAAACGTGCTTACTTCACACTCTGTAAAAACAAATTAAGTGAATAAAAGGTAAACTTTCACCTACGCTCAGGCCCCGTGTTTAGTCCTAAAATATTTAATAGGATTAAAGTGACTAGGAGGAATAGAGAATGTAGTAGAGAATACGAAGCTATCTGCTCATCACAAACGTCGAACATAATTTATTGTTTTCATCAATGAAAGAAACTGACGAAATAACAAGCTTACGTTTCCTAGCTGCACGTCCAATCGCTTTTGCAGCCGATGCTTGTACTGCTGGTACGACACTGTCTTGAACGAATTGCATTAGTCGTTTTAAGCCACCATTTGATTGAATAAGCTAGCAAAAATTAAAAGTAGTTGAATATAATAATAAGCTATTATCTCTTAGAAAATTAGGTAGCTATGGCTATAGCTTAACTTGAACAGCTACTATAAGTCAAATGATCCATTTTTCACCAGGTTTTGGTAGTTCTTTCGGCGAACAAACATTGCCATAAAGTTCAATGTGGTCAAAAACCTATGTTTCAGCTGGTTTTGTGATTTCTACAGGTCATCTCTCACGATTTCCGGGGCTCTCAGAAAATTCGATGCTACGCCCAAACAGCGAAAAGTAACGTGGGCGAATGATTCTTATTTTAAAGAGGATACTTCGGCCTATCTATCTATATAAAAAAAGAATATGTTGCTGCCTGAGTTTTTAGAGATATAGAACGGTTTTCTACAGATTCTCTGTAAGACTGACCTTCGAAAACGAGTTTTTAAATATGTTGCTCATAAAAGAAGGATGCGGCGGCCTCCCCTTTTAAATGGCGAAAAACATAGATTTTTAGCTCCTATCAAAAGTGAAAAAACGACCACAACCTCTTGATTTTTGAACAATAGCAGTCAATAAAATAATACAACTTACATCAAGACACTCTGTATCTTCTAGAATATTAGCTAGAGCATTCAAACAGTGAACGTGAACATCTTTACTGTCGTCTTGTCCAATAAAATCAATCATTTTATCCAGACCACCGTTATCTCGCAAAACAGCACGATTCAGTGCTAAAAAAATATTCAAGAAATATTAGGATATCATAAAATATTTATAATACATACGGTCGGTGGCTAGCTTTTGTATACAATTACATGCTGCTTCCGTGATTTGTGGATAATCCGATTTTAAACAATTTAAGATTGGTTCGATACCGTTTAGTTCTCGGACGACACTTCTCGCATGATAATCATCTAAAATTTTTTCAATTGTTGCTAATGAATAATATTTAATATCAGGATCAAGTTCATCGACGAGACGAATCAAAGGTTGTAGCACATTTAATGATAGGACAGCCGATTTTGTGCTATAATCGGTGCACATCTGACAGAGCCAATAGATAGCGAATTCATTTGTGAGGCGATCATCTGAATATCAGTATTCCGAGTTATTATTGAAATTTAGTCGCTTTTTTCTTTTATACTTACGCTCTGGCGACAACAATGAGACAATGTGAGGGATACAATCAATTTTTCGTAAGTGACGTCGTACTTCAGCTGGAAAATATGTGTTAGTGTATATTATGTGTGAGAAAGAGATGTGCTGAAGACGCTACATACCATGAGCAGCAAGAAGACCAAATGCCATGGTCGCATTTCGTTGTACCGTCGGATTTTCATGATGTGTTAATGTGAACAATGTATCGGTAGCGCCCATCTGATGTAGCGTGAGTTTGTTATTGTCGCCTATAGATGAAATATACAACATAGTGCTTTCAGAGAAAAACAGTTAACTACATACTTTTGTCAGCAAACTTAAATAATGAATCACATGCGCGTATGAGAACAGTATCTTCAGTACTTTGAAGACAAACAACGGCCGTTTGAGCAACTTTAATGTCAAGTTTAACTGGTTCAAACTGAACAAAAAAGAAGAGCCCTTCGTTATTAGAACATCACTATGTAGACTGAAACAAGAACGCACATTACTATTAGCGGATTTTCCTTGAATACTATCTTGTCCAACCCCGATCGATTTAACACTCGCAAAACTCGTACGCTTACTCATCTTCTTGTTGTAGTTAGTAAACTACACAAATTTTTTTTAGTGTTAGCAAAGATTTAACAGAACTAAATGACAGAGTAGAAACTTTTTCTCGTACTAATGGGATTAGTTTAAAGCGAAAAAAGGATTAAATTTTGTTTTTATTGTTCTCATTGATTTCCTTGAATCGACTTGTCGAAAGCACTGTAACATATACAAACCAACTGTTAAAATGTTTCTATTGTCTTTCTTTCTTGCATACAGCAGCCATGTTTAGTGGAAATCAATTTTGATTTTATAGATTATGTCATTAGGTCTACAAAATGATATTTTACCGTTTCATCCACTGCTTTTTCGTCTTGTCGTAATTTGCTTTTAGGCGTGGCAGCCTTTGCGTCTTTGACTGCAGCCGACGAGGGCGGTTTTCCTTTCACCATGTGTAAAATGCTGAATAAAACTGACTAATTTCTATTCATTAAATGGAAAGGATATTGTTCTTTGTTCGTTTATTGTACAATAACACGCCTAAAATACATAAAGTTATCCTGTTCCTCTTGTATGGATATACGGATATACCATTTGTGGCGCATGTAAGAACAGCGTATACGAGCAACGCCCTCTTTACTTTCTGTTCGTGTTTTTCAATGCACTAATGCATTTGATATAACTAATATACGAACTGTATCAATTAGATAACTTTGTAACTGTGAAACATAGTCAATTTTTAATGTTACACTTCTGCTGCTTGCATCTGATAAGTGTTGTTGTTATTGCCGCCACATGATAAAACAGATTTACAGAGCGCTGCAGTAATGTGACGAAAAATTCTGAAATTTGAGTCCTGAAAGCAGTTAGAGTCTTCAATGTTCAGTTAAAGCTTTATCAAAGGAAAATGAAAGAGGTCCTATTTGAAGCAGTTATGAATAATTTAAAAGAAATCTACCGAAAAAAGAAAAGTTGTATACATATCCCAAGTAAAAAATCTTGACTGCAGATCTTGATAAAAACTTGAAAGATTTCGGAAGTTTCTGTTCAGTTCTTTCAAGATCTTATGCAGATTTATCGATATCTGTCAAGATTCTGAGATCATC